GTCTGTCTCTCCCACTCCACAACCCCCATTCTAGCCTGTTTCCTAGTGATAAACAGTTCAGGGCTGGCTGTGGCCATTCTGCATTGCTGTTTGGTTTTATGTGGACGCTGACTCTTTAAATTTGAGGTCTAGGTGCATGCGTAGTAGAACCCTCCAGCAGTGGGGGGAGGGTCCACTAGCTCAGGCACCCCCTCTAGTCATCAGAATGGAGATGCACAGATAGCAACAGGCCAATGAACAGATACCAAAAAAACATAACAAAACATAAAAATATTGTCCATACCTTTATATCCAAGGTTTCCACAGGTGTCAGTCCATGGTGGGTCTGCTCACTCCTGTTTGGTCCCACCACTTGGTCTCACCAAGTTGTTGGCTCTGGCCACTGAGCCCGGGGGGTTCAATTGCTTCTGCTGTAAGTCCACTGGCTATAAGCCTTCAAACTTTAAAAATATTCCTATATATGTGATTCAGAGTTTTGGAGCTATCCCCTGGTATTCTGTGTTACTGCTGACAGAGGTCTTCATTGCACCTCTACCCTATCCACCATCAAGCCCTGCCTCCCATCTTCTATTTAAAAACAAAAAAACTTTTTATTGTGAATTAAGTGAAGGTTTACAGAGCAGATTATGTTTTAATTTTGCAAATCATATACTTTGTGTCATTACAATGATTGCAATCACCTCCACATACCGTCTTTTAACAGTTGTTTTTGTTAAGTGCCATCAGTACAGAAGCAGAAAGCCTCATCTTTCTTCCTCAGAGTGACTAGTTGGCTCATACTGATTACCTGTGAGACGCAGTCTAGTGCTTATTGTATGAAGCCACGGCACTCCCTCAGTTAACAGTATTTACTTCTATTTCCTTTAACTCTTGCACTCCTCTCAGAGTTTCCTTCTGCCTTTACCTTTCCTCTGCCAATGTCCCTCTTGTTGTGTATTGCCTGCTTTGTCACCCGTGTTAACGCATGTCTACCCTCGACCTGTAAATAATTTCCTTTCCTCCAACCCCCTGGTAACCATCATAGAATGTTTCACTTAGTAAGAAACCGGTTTCTTACCTTTTTATAACAATGGTCTCAATACAATATTTGTCCTTTTGTGATTGACTAATTGCCATAATGTCCTCCAGGTTCATCCATGTTGTGAGGGGTTTTGCAGATTAATCATTATTCTTCAGTGTTGCAGAATACTTACTCCATTGTGTGTGTGTACCAAAGATTATTTAACCATTCTTCTGTTGATGAGCAGTTAAGCTGTCTCCATCTTTTTGCTACTGTAAATAGTGCTGCAATGAACGTCTTGGCAGATGTTGAGTTTGATCCTCTTTCCACCTTGTGAAGTCAGATCGTCCCCACCCTCAACCACACACACACACACACACACACGTCTTTCTTACAGGTGTCTTCAAAGAAAGGTCCCATCAGCTCAGGTTATGGTGACTGCTTCTGGAGGGATTTAAAAAAGTTCATCTTGATTTTTTTAAACGACACAGGTCTAACATGGGGGCTTATTAGGAAGTTTTTAGAAAATTGAAAACTGCATTGGTAAGAAAAAGGCCAGGAAAGTTGAGCTGGCCTTCCTCCCCCCTCCCCGCATCACTACAATGCACTTACTCATTCTTCAAGAGTAGCCATGAGTTGTCCTATGAGGATTTCATTGGGAAACTTTAACCCATTCACCCTACTGTCCTGATCATGTCCCTTTAGAGTTTTGTTTCCAAAATGCACAAAACACCGAAAAGGAACACAGTTAGAGTCCCTTGAAGATGCCAAAACTGCCATTTTGATGTTGAACAAATAGAAGAGCACAGAATTCTTCAGGGAAGGCTTAGAGATGGAAATACCACCTTGAGTGTTGTTGTTATGTGCTGTGGAGTCAGTTCCGACTCACAGTGACCCTGTACAGGGTTTGCGGTGCTGTAAATCTTTACGGGAGCAGAAAGCCTCATCTTTCTCCTACAGGTGGTAGTTTCTAACTGCTGACCTTGAGGTTCGCAGCCCGATTCGTAACCACTACACTACCAGAGCTTACAGATGGAAAATGTGTTGAGACACAATAGCTTCACATTTTCATATTTTTAATAAAAGTCTATGATATTGTAGCAGTACTTTTTGGCTTACCCATATACAGGTGAACTAGTTCCAAAGCCCAGGCTCATTTTAAGGGTAGGACTAGCGGCTGAGATCAACTCTGCAGGCAGTCATGCTTTCCAGACCTGACTTTCTTTCCTGCTAGGCTCTACTCAAAGACCTGAAGGAGGAACAGAGATTTTCAGGTGTGGGAGGGCTAAAGCGTGAAGGCAGAAATACTACCATGTGTTAAATGGCCAGCATAATCACTCTCCCACCTTTGCAACCCTAAGTAATGTGAAAGGTCCACCTTTGCTGTATACAACACTGGGGAGTCTCATTCCAAAGATGGCACCTGGAGTCTTACCATGAAGGTGTCATTGAGGAGAAAGATCAGGAAGTAAGTGGCCCCAACCACAGACTGGAGCTTCCAGCAGGTTCCTGTCAGACCAAGGATTTCTTAAGGGTAGAAGGCAGAGGCTCAGGCTCAGAATGAGAATTCAGCTGGGCCCAGGGAGGTACTGACTAGATGGTGATCTGCTCCGGTTTGTAAAATGAGGTACGTCTGTCTCTGATCAGAGGGACATAACTGATGCCAGGGATCTGCTGCATCTGAGTTCAGAGCAGTCAACGGCCACACTGAGAAAGTCTGAAATGACCTTAACCAGAGGAAAAGTCTAAGCTCTACCCAATGTTTAAGGAGCTCTGGTAGCGTAGTGGTTGTAAATTGAGCTGCTAACCTCAAGGTCAGCAGTTCAAAACTACCTGCTGTTCCACGGGAGAAAGATGAGGCTTTCTGCTCCGGTAAACCTTGTACAGGGTCGCTATGAGTTGGAACCGACTCCACTGCACACCACCATCCAATGCTTACCTTTTAAATGAGTCTTTGAGGGACTCTTAATGAAAGTGCTGAGAAACAATTCAAACCAGACAGAATGTTTACACAAGAAAGTGAGAATTGCAAGACTGCATTTTGTACTACAAACACAGCTTTATTTTTCACAATGACCAGATAGCATTTTCCATACAAAATAAAAAAACCTAAGACACTTTTATTGATCTACAACTCAAGATTCTCCACCATCTTAAAGGAAAGGTTAAGAGTGAGGAAAGTACGAGGAGTATCTCAAAGGGTATGACAAGTCAAGTCCGGAGAACACAGTGACATCCCTGTGGGAAGGGAGTTGGGGGTGCCATCTCACACTAGGCAGTAAGTACCCAGGCCTTACTGGGCAGTAAGTACCCAGGCCAGACCTTACCATCTGCACCACTCCCCAGGCTCCTGGAGAAACACTCTGGCTCTCCCATCACCTCCCCCCTGAGGAGGGAAACGAACAATTTTTGGTCATAATGACATTTTGGTTCTTGATCCCCTAAGGAGAAATGGCACAAGATAATGGGGAACAGTGCATTAAGACAGAATGGTATTATTCAGGCTGGTCAATGTTTTGACCCCAACTTTTATTTTTTACACAAATAAAGGAGAACAAGGTCAATCATTATCATCCTATTTTTAATCGTAACACCTTGGCATTTCTGTTAAGGACAAACACAAGAATTTCACAAAACCTGTTCTATTTCTTCATGGGGAAAATGGAGATTCATGTTTTTACCTTTGTAAGGTCTTTGTGAGATGATACTCAGAAAGACAGCATAATAGTATGTCACGTCGAGGTAAGTTCTTATGACCTCACGCTATCCCACTACCTAGAGTCCTGGTGTGGTGCTTCAGGTTAATACGCTCGACTGCAAAGTCGTGTGAACCATAAGGTCGGTGGTTCAAGCTCACCAGCCGCTCCTTGGAAACCCTATACAGGTCTCTATGGGTCGGAACCGACTCGACAGCACTTAACAACAACAACAGGCCATGAAGGGATTCCATATAAACCCAACCTAGTTATCTGGCTCAGAAAAACAGCCTATTTCCCTAAGAGATGATCACTGTGTTGCCCAGGGAGGCAAGCAAGTCATGAGCAGCTGATTCTGTGGACACAGATCTTTCTTAGGCTCCTTATTCTCTGGAACTAAAAGCTCACCTAGAAAGCAAGGAACACATCAACTGAGCATGATTTGGTCACTAAAAGCACTGCAATCATGGAGACAAGTGGAAGCTCTGACTAATCCCACAAAGCATCGTCTTCTAACTGTGGGCTCTTACTGTGACTGCTTCTGCCCAATAAAGCAGAGGGCAGTAACTGCAGATAAGAAACCAGATCCTTCCTGCCAAACAGACCCAGGTCACAGATATTCAGAGCAATGTCAGGGAATAGACCGGAATATATTTCAAGCTTTCCTCTCTTAGCCCTGTGTGACCGTACTTTAGGTGGCTTCTTGGGAAACAGGACCTTTGGACAAGCCACTTAAGCTCTCTAAGCCTCTATTGCTTCCTGTGTAAAATGGGGATTCATGATATTTACCTCATAGGGTCGTTGTGAGATAACGTATGTAAAGCACTGAGCTTGGTACCTAAGCACACTAAAGGAGCAGGAAATATAGTTGCTGAGTTTTTCTATATACAGAGAGGAACAGCAGGTCCCTCATGAGAAAATCAAGAAACAAATTACAGAACATGTGGACAGGGTGATATACAGAGTTTTCTAAAAAGCTATCTCCAACACTGATACAGGCCTAGAAATAGGTTCCAAAAAGCAAAGGAGATACATCAAGGACGATGCATAATTTGAAGGTACAAAAATAAATAAACAGTACCTTCACCTACTGGGCATCCAAAGGGACACCAACATAGAGAGCCATGTGTGTACACAGTCCTCCTCTCAACGTGAGACAAGGTCCGCACTTGGTCTGCAGGTGTGGCACCTTCCTTAATAATTAGTTCCGATGTCAAATACAATACTGCCCCAAACCTGTACATCTTTCATCCTTTGGGGTGAAATTTAAACTTAAACTTACGATTCTATCATGTACTTAAAACAAGCCACTAAAAGATATTCACTTGACGAGAGCCTGTTGGCTTTATTACAGACGCTATCCCACAACTTCTGAGAGGAAAAACTAGGATGGCTTTCTTTCCTGGGCTTCCGATTGCTCCTTAGCTTTGAGTTTTTCTAGTTTCTTCTCATAGAGACTGAGGAAGTAATCATCGGGTTTAATTCCTGCTTTCTTCAAATGGTCCATGATCTTTTCCAGTCTGAGCACGGATGAGGCTCCCCCAATCTTTCGGGTACTCAAGTACAGCGTGAACTCCTGGAAGTCCAGAAGCTTACAGGTGTCCACAGCACAGATATTCCTGATCTCACCACTTCTATCCAAACGAGGAAAAAACACCAGTCCTGACAACTTCTCTAGGTCCTGGAGACTCACTTGGAATTCAGTTAATGGGGGCTGGAAACCAATGGCCTCATTGGGCACCACAAAGGCGCCCAGTGCCAGCGGTTCCGTCGACACTGGACTTCTGCGAGCCAGGATCACTTTATAAAGGTGTGAAGGGACCGCCACGTTGTCCTGACCAATCACCTAAAAACAAAGCAGCTGTATTAATGCAGCTGATGTGTGTCAGCTGTTTCTGAAAATGCACTTCAACGGCAACCCCAATCCAGCCCAAAGAATTTACATTCAACAGCTAAAGATCATTACAAATCAAGATACAGATAGATTCAGAGAAAAGCTGGGCATCTAACTGGTAGATTCGGCTGTGCTCATGGGACTAAGAAAGGCCTCTGAGCGCGCTCTGGGTTGCATGGATGGGAAAACTGTCATTTCCCCTTCACCTCATAATCAGACCTTCTGGTGCTTTCATCATTCAAAGGTCAAAACTGCCAATTGGGCATTCTCAGCTCTAGAAATAAAAATATGGCCTTAGTTTATCAAATTCACTAGGAGCTATGAACAGTCTTTAGCGAATCAGCCAGACACATCACATCAGATCTCTGGTTTTGCCTAAAAGGTGGCTCATTTTTAAAATAAAATTAAGTAAATGTAAATGTTGTTGGCTCAGATTTTGGTACACTCTTGGGTCTGCTATCAAGCACAAAACTTCTGAATGTGTCATCAAATCACACACTTAGAAATGGTATCCACACAATGAAAAAGTCAGAGTCACGGTTACCCTAAAACCCATAACTTAGTTGCCTGCAGGTTGGCTGTAATAATGAAATAACACTATTAGAAAACCTTTTCAAATTTCCTTCCAATTGGCTTAAAAGCCGTATCTGCTTTCTGGAAAAAAAAAAAAAACACAACATCCATTTCCTTAATGACATAATATAATGACATAATCTAAGTACTGTTCACGGCATTATTGGCCCTCCCTTGATCACAGTAGGTATTCTTTCTGAAGCAGAGGCCTCTGCCAGCTGCAGGGAGCCCGGTACGGCTGAGCCATGTGAGCTCCAGAGGAGGTTTCCTTTCTGCATCTCCCCAGTGACTGACCACACCATGACACACAGCAAGACCTCAGGACTCCACGTCCATCTGCTGTCTGCCCTGCGTGCACTCCCACTGCCCATCCACAAGATGCTTTCTGCTGGAATTACTTGGAATAGTTTGTCAGGGTGTGGCTACGAGTAAAGTTTAAGAAGCGATATCCCCTACCGACACAAAAGCCCACCCTCCTTTACTCTCTAACAAGTCATTTACTCAGCTGGGAAAACGAACAAATTCTTCAAAGCAAAATATATGAGGGAGCTTCAAACAGTTTGTGGAAAAATTCCATTTATCTTTTAATTATATTTTTTCAATGAAATTTTTGACACCCCCTTGTATACTGATGGTTAGACCTATGTTGTTGGATAGTTCCGCCAAGTTAGTTCTGACTCATAGCAACCCTGTATAGGGTTTCCAAGAAGCAGCTGGTGGGTTTCAAGCACTAACTTTAGTCAGCAGTCTACAATTAAGCCACAGATTACCAAAAGGCATCTGAGGGGTTCTGATCCTCGTACTGCTCAAATTACAGAGAGAAAGAAACTTTATAGTAAGTGCCGTTGGTGCCAGCTCTCAAAGAACTTACCATCTAAATTTCTGTGTGTGTGTCAGGTAGCCAACATCCACAGCCTTCATCACAGACAAAAAAGTTAGAGGCTCATGTTGAACACAAACAACAGCACTAAGAGGTACAGAAAAGGCTGGGAACCAGAACCCAGGGTACAGCTGTAGCTGAGCCACAGTTCGCAGGAGAGAGAGGTTTAAATGAGCCCTAAGTATTCACAGAAAGCATCAGGAGAAGATGGAAGGAATACACAGTCACTGTAGCAAAAGGAAATGGTTAATGTTCAACCGTTTCAAGAGGTAGCATATGATCAAGAGCCAATGAAGGAAGAAGTCCAAGGTGCAGTGAAGGAATCGGCAAAGAACAAGGCATCAGGAACTGATGGAATAAAAATTGAAATCTTTCAAGAAAGTGAACCAGCACAGGAGGCATCTATGCCAAGAAATTTGGAAAACAACTATCTGGCTGACTGATTGGAAGAGACCCATATCTGTGCCCATTCCAAAGACAGGTGACTCAATGCAGAAATCATCGGACAATCTCTTTGATGTCTCAAGCGAGTAAAGTTTTACTAAAGGTAATACAGAAATGGCTACAAGCATACATTGACAGAGAACTTCCAGAGGTTCAAGCCGGATTCGGAAGAGGACGTGGAATGAGGGATATCATTGCTGGTGTCCGATGCATTTTGGCTGAAAGCAGAGGATATCAGAAAGATGTTTACCTGTGCTTTATTGACTAAGCAAAGGCTTTCGATTGTGTGGATCATAACAAGCTATGGACAACATAAGAATGAGTATTCCAGAACATTTAATTGTACTCATTAGGAATCTGTACTTGGACCAAGAGATAGGTATTCGAACAGAACATGGGAACAGTGAATGGTTTGAAATTAAGAAAGATGTGCGACAAGGTTGTATTCTTTCACCATACTTATTCAACCTGTATGCTGAGCAAATAATACAAGAAGCTGAGTTCTATGAAGAAAAACGTGGCGTCAGGATTGGAGGAAGACTCATTAACAACCTGTGACATGCAGATGATACAACCTTGCTTGCTGAAAGTGAAGAGTACTTAAAAC